AATTAAGAAGCGGAACGCAGTAGCACACGGAGGCGAACTTTTAGCTAGCTTTCTTTTCCTTTCTCTCTCTCTCTCTCTCTCTCTCTCTCTCTCTCTCTCTCTCTCTCTCTCCCCCCTCCCCCCTCTGTCTCCGTCTGTCTTCTTCTTTCCATGACGCTTTGAACGACACGGTACGGATATCCGTTCCACTTACGAGCTTCAAACGGTTTCGATTCGCGCGAAATAATGTAGGTTCGCACACCAAAGCATGAGCGATCCGCAACGCAGCGCATTCCAAAATAAAAAAAAAAAAAAGGAGAGAGAAAGAAGACAAAAAGTTACATCATAATGAAGATTTATCAAATATAACATTATTCACCTTAATCGAAAAGAGGTATATTATGATCCCTAATATGCGTACATAAATTTGGAGACAAATTCGGCACGCGTAAGCAATATAGCATTATAGACCAACGTTAATCTTATCCACTGTCACGATATTGTCCTCTTTTAATAGTTTTAAATTTGGGCATTTTCAGTAACGTTTCTTCGATAAAACCCGATGATAATGTACGCTCAGAGAATTAGTTTTATTACAGAGGACGGTTTGAATGAAACGATTATCGCGTTACGAGTTTTAACACGCGCCGGTTTTAACGGACGTCGGTTTACAAAAGTTTCACTTTGAAACACCGCGATCTGGTTTTCCCAACCACTATTAAAAGAACTCTTAGGAGGGTGCGACATTATAACCGGTCACCGACAGAAGCTCATATCTAGCTGCCGGTGTTGTCTCTTTGTGGCAACTGCTCAACGCGACGACGGACGATACGCATGAGGTGAAAGATTCGGAATTGATACCAAGACTTTATATTCTCAGAAATATATTGCCGCTCAGTTAAATTTTAGCTCTTATATTCTCAGCACGTATCTGATCGAAAGAGAGAGAGAGAGAGAGAGAAAGAGAGAGAGAGAGAGAGAGAGAGAGAGAGAGAGAGAGAGAGAGAGAGAGAGAGAGAGAGCAGCTTTCATCTTTAACATCGCGATTAGCATACCGAATAAATAAAAATCTAGTGTCGTACGATTTAGCGTTTAAGGTGACGTTAAAAATATCTATCCAAATTCGCATGCTTACTATCTGTGATTATAGCCTCACGAATTTTTCCTCGAACAAAAAGATGATAAATACGCTTACGAAAGTTTACCTGCATTATTAAACGCGTCTGCTTCTCTCTTATCGATCCGGTCAAGCGCCTTGCGCGCTTATCTTCTCGAATTTCGACGATTTTTCGCAAGATACCATTTGTTTCGAGTTTCGCATGTAGGTCGAGGGTTGCGGCAAAAAGAGATAAATTTCGAGAGAAGGTCAGCGGAAGAGCGAGTGGCGAGATCGTAAACCGGTCAATCGATCGAAACGCGAAGAACGCCCAACATATTTCGAAAACAGCTGAGAAGAAATACACAATTTATAAGCGATATATTAATCTTAGCAATCCAACGCCGCATCGTCGTCGATTCCACAGAAACGCGCGATGGCTATCAATATTCCACCTATTTTCAATCGTTCGCCTTCAAACGTTTATCATTGCTATCGTTATACATATTCAAGGTTTATCGATTGCGCAAATTGAATACCGATTGCCACTGTCGACAGCATTTAGTCGCTGCGCTTTTCTCAGAGCAAATTAATAAAATTTATAAACACCGTACACTCGAATCTTGCAATATTTACGCGGTGTATATGTATTTGCAACAATATCTTTAACGGAATTTTTAATTTGAAAATTAATTATACAATGACATGCAGCATTAAAAATTAGAAAGGTATTTTATGCTGAATATCACAACCATGAATATACTAGTATAACCTCCTCTTCGAATAACCTCTCCCTCTCCCTCTCTCTCTCTCTCTCTCTCTCTCTCTCTCTCTCTCTCTCAATCGATGTTTTCGCTAAAATCATTTGCAAATCAATTAAGAAAAAAGTTGTGGTTAAAGATCATCCAATCGTTTCACAATATCTTGAGTCAAAATCGCGAGTCAAATATTTGCTCCAACAATGTCCAAAATTTCATCGCCTCATCATCATTTGTCATCAACTTTATGTATTTCGCATTATCAAAACGGAGAGGATTAAAGAGAAATGGAAAGACATTATTGTCACTGTGAAAACGCGAGCGGTACGGGATCTCCGGGTCTCGTCACACGTAGAATTTCTTGCGCACTTTTTCCACTCACCTGCACACTTTTGCAACGATATCCTCGATTGCGCGTTATTTTCGCTACCCAACAACACGCAACATATGATTACGACATCACTCTGATGACAGTGGGATTTTTGCATAACGATCCGTAAAACGAATGTCGATCTCTCTCTCTCTCTCTCTCTCTCTCTCACTTGCGTACGGTGACCGTTACAACTTGGAAGCAAACGACGAGCGAACACGCGCGTTTGAAGATCCAACGAAACATCTGCTGAACGTCAACCCTCGCACGTTCCACGTCTTGCACTGCGACACGACGCAACGCGACGCAGCGTCGTCGCGGCGAACATGATCGACGTCATCGTCGACGCGACGACGAGTAGTACGCTGAATACACTTAAATACACGTCGTTGCGGTCACGCGTAACTCCTGCCTGCGTATCAAACGTACCGTGTTACACCAGCTCCGCGTGCACGATCGAAGCGGTTGGACTAACCTAGCTTACGCTCGCAAAGTGTAACGAGGATTCTACTTACTTCCGGCGTTCTCGCGCTTCCTCCCACACCGGGAGACGGCACGCTCTTCGAGCATGTATTAACTATGGGCAACAGCGATAGCACGAGAAAGAAAAAAATCGCGAAAACGAACCAAGGGGGCGAGAACGAATGAGCGAACGTACGAGTGAAAACGAGACAGATAGACGGATAGAAAGAGAGAGAGAGAGAGAGAGAGAGAGAGAGAGAGAGAGAGAGAGAGAGAGAGGAAAAAAGAGAGAAAGAGAGGGAGGGAGGGAGGGAGAGAGAAAGAGAGAGGAGAGAGAGAGAGAGAGAGAGAGAGAGGAAGAAAGGGGGAAAGCTTACACTGAAAATAATCCGTCGCGTCTCACGCGTTGATTGTCATCTTCGTCTCCTGGTGCATCCAAACTCACGACAGCAACGGCATTGGGACATGAAAACTCCGTGAAAAAGACGTGATACGCATGATGACGAAGCACGTAGAAGTCCGCGACGCGTTACACGCCGATCATCTGTCCGGCCGTACGGCAGCGAGGAAAACGAACGAAAATCGATGTTACCACCGATGCGACGCGACACGCCGCGAACGCGGCGGGTACTTCTCGGTATGCGATACAACTCGACTTTCGCACTTATCCCCGGCGAACGCGCGTCCATTCGCTGATAACACGAACACGATCACTGGACGCGCGATACTGAACTGATCGAGCGTAAGGTATAGTCGCGGGCGCCCAATACGGACGTAAAGCGCGTTATCGCTTTATCGCACCACGATTTTCACATCACAAACGCCTGAGACGCGAGATTATGCGAGACCGAGCACCAAAGACGGACGACGCGCCTAGCAGACGACATTTTGCCTTTACCCGAGCCTGCACGAAATATGCCGAAAACGACCGAACAGCGCGCGGTGCGCCGTGCGCGTTCAACACGCTCACGCTCCACCGCGCAGCGCGAATATTTGATTCGCTTTAATTGACACCGTCGGTGTGTCAATCGGTATACCGTCGTAACGTACGAATAAATGGAGATTACCGAGATCGTTGTGAGTGTGTGTGTGTAGTTTCGCCGACTACGTTTATTTCAGCCATTTTATGCGAAACTAAAAGTAGAGTCATCATCATCATAATAACAATTTTGTGCAATCGAACAAATTATCGAGATTATATATGATGTAATGATGTATTAAACCATAATATCGAGATTATAATGTAATAATGCAATAAAATGTAATTTTTGCAGCAATCTCCCTTCATTGCGTTCCCTTCTTTGCGTCACATAATGAAAATTTTCTCGGAAAAGAGTTCGTTTATGGATATATCTCAGAGACGTAGTTTCTTTTTTCTTCTTCTTTTCTCTCTCTCTCTCTCTCTCTCTCTCTCTCTCTCTCTCTCTCTCTCTCTCTCTCTCTAACAATGCTTTTAAATCATAAAAAAACCTTGAAAGGGATGAACGTACCGTAATGTACCATGATAAATTTCGTACCTCGCTTTTGATCTCGAAAACTTCAGCATTTCGCTCTCAATTTCGTTTCAGCACGCTCGTAACATTCGTTATCCACGCGAATCCATTCAAAATGTGCCTGTCACGTGTATATTGTGCAAGAACTAGTTTCTTGAATTAATATGCGTGTCGCATATATAACCGGCATATACGATGTAACTGGTGCGACGGTTAGACGGATACCACAGAAGTCAAGCACAACTCTCATGATTTGATGTGTTGTAGAAAAAGGAAGATAAATTATAGAAAGGAAGATAGAGGAAGATAAATTGTGTGAGGATATCTGGTTGCAAAAATGCTCATTTTACTAGAATAAATATGAAAAGCTATTTTTATTTCTTATACATTATTTTTATTTCTTATACATTATTTTTTATACATATTTCATATTTCATATTTCATCTTATAACATCAATTGTAAAACTCTAAAACCAAAGAGTGCAAAGCAAAATAGTGTTCCTCATTTGACTAGAATAGTCGAGAAAAAATTTGAAAGAACTACGCTCAAAGGGAAAAGAATGTCCGACATAACATGCGAGACAATTTGATTTGGTTTGAGTATAAGATCGAAACAATACATCGTCGGGACAGTACATCGCGACACAGATCTCTACTAGCTCGATAGTGTATTTATCTGTTTAACACGGGATCAACGGGATCACGTGAGTATTATATTCACGTTCATAAATTATGCGTACAAAAACACTCTGGGAAAAACGTCCGGCGATTAGTGAAAATCGCTTAGTGAGTGCAAGGTGAGATGAACCGATTGCGAGCGCACGTGCGCATGTATTTATGTGCGCACTTTGCATGTAATATTAATGGAATGTGAGATCATTCCTATATCCTGCGAGAACGTTCTTTTTCACGTCGTAGCCTGTGATCCCTGATGTTAACTCTCTGTCACGAATGGTAACCTTCGAAACCTTTTGCCGCGGTTGATGTCACCACTAAATAAAGGCGGCTAGATACAGGCGATAAATCTGTTGTTCCCGCCAATCATTGTATGAGCAAACTTGCGCGAGCATATTCGCCACGCGGAATGTCATTATCGTGTTGAATACATTATCTCGACATGATCGATCGAGCGATGACGAGTACCGACGACGCCGCTTTTGATCCGTCGTGTAATGACAAATTGACCAATCGTAGCCTTGATACTTGAAGATTATCTTTTATTTCCGTTTATTGAATAAAGAGGAAACGATACAACTGTATCGCAATGTATCGCAATGTAATGACATATGTAACAAATTACAAGAGTTACATACAATACTCCGACTGGCTCTCTTTCATTTAGGTTTAACAAGGTTGAATAATTCAGTTCAGTTGATCAGTTTTGTCTCTTTTATACTTGGGTCAAATAAATAAATATTGTTCCTTTACAATGATACTCATTGCATGTTGTTTTTGTTTTTTTCGTATTTTTCTGTCTTTTCTTTTTTTTTTACATTGAAAGGGAATCATTATCTATTTTACTTTTTTGTCATAAATGATTTGTCCCAATTTCAGACATACTGAATCTTCGCATTTTTCAACGCTCCCTTAACTTTCTTCTGATCCGTAGCAGTTGCCTTCCAAATAAGTTCTAAATTCTCGCGAGTGGCGCTAATCTCCTTCTGCAATCGCCCGATCACTTCCTCCTTCTTCCTCACCAAATGCTTGAGACGTTGAAGTTCTCGATGATATTCGTCTTTCATCCGGTGCACTCCGAGCTGCTGTACTTTCATACTTTTCTCAGTCATCTCTAATTGTTGCTTGGCACCTTCGTGCACGACCTGCGGACGGTAATGCGATGGCGCTCGTTCGAGAGTTCAAACAATTGGCATGACACATCGTCATCAGACAAAAAATGTCTGCTGATGTGTATGTATATCTCGCGGCGCACTACGTACCTTCAGTTGCTTCTTCAAATCACCCACTCGTTGAGTGATGGTGTCGCCGAGAAAATGAATGCTCGCATTTTCGTTTTCCGTCTCGTGCAAAAGAGAAACCAACTTATCCCGCTCAGAGAGTGTCCTCTCGTATTCGCTAAACAATTCCTCGCAATACATAGCGGTCTTCCTTAATTGTTTCTTGAAAGAATCACGGGATACCTGCACAGAATGCGCGATCTTCTGGAAATGCTCTAGTTTCCGTTGCACTCGTCTAAAATGTGCGCGATTGATGCGTAAATATTGTGTGGATTAAATTCTCATTGCGCTCATTTTGATATTCGTGACGTGAATCGTCAACTTACCTCAAATTTTTCTCCAAATTTTTATTCGACGCTTTCAATTGATTTCTCTCGATCGTAACTACGTCCAGTTGCGTTTTATTCTGGCAATGTGCTTCCTCCAATTCTTTAATACGAGCGGATTGCTTATCCTTCTCAGTCTCGTATTGATGTTTCAGTTTCTCAAACAATTCTTTGCATTCTTCGACGGCAGCATTGTGAATACCGATAGGCATCGTTTTTCTATTGTCACTTTGCAGCTTCTCGTACTCTTTCTGAAGAACATGGTACTTCCCTTGGAGATTACTTAACTCGGTGTTGAAAGCAAGACATTCCTCATGAAGTCTGTTATTGTCAAACGACATCACCTCCACCTTTTGTTCATACAGAGAATGGATCTCGTGAATCTTTTGCTTCTGGTGAGCAGTTTGCTTCGCGTAACATTCGTTCAATTCCTTAAGCAGATCAGCGTCCTCGGAGATCATCTTGATTTCGTCCGTATACCTGGTACACTGGAAAACTTTTACTACAATAATTTGTAAAATGCACGACAATTTTCTGCGATTGCAATACCTTCGATCTGAGCTTCTCCATTTCGCTTTGCATAGTTTCGTTCTCCGCGATAATCTCTTTACATCTAGCGCTGAAATTTGCCATGTCCTCCTCATACTTGTTTATAAGCTCCTGTTTCTCCGACAGGCTCTCTTGATAAGCATCTAAAAGCGGGCCCAATACATGAGTATTCACAGAGCCCCATGACTCTAATATCTTTTTAATGTCGTTGGTTTGCGCCTTGGAATCTAATGTATCATTAATATTTTTCATTGCGATACTCTGCCCAAGTTCTCTCATTTTATCTTGATATCTTCCTAATTCCGCATTTAATCGATATATTACGTTTTTAAGAAGCAGTACATCCTCATTTAACTGAACGTTTTCGGCCTTGAATCTTTCATTAAATGTTAAAAGATTGACCTTTGTTTTCTCCGCTTTTTGCAGGGCTTCTATAAATTCCTTGTGATGTACATGCAATTGACGGTATTCTACTTCATGTTCTGCCAACAGAGCATTCAACTTATCACACTCTTGTTGAAGTTCCTCGCGATCTTTCAATAATTTATGATACTTGTTGCAGATTCTTGACATCAAGAAGTCCTTCTCTTTTAGTTCCGCAAGAGTTTCTAAAATTGATCACAGGATATTATTTCAGCGTTTCCTAAACAGATATGAAAATTATATTACTCACTAGAGTCTATATTGGAGCCCTCGAGCCTCATCGTTAATATCTGACTTTCTTCAACCAATTTATCAATTTCCTTTTGAATGCAGCGTTGTTTGTTATTTTTCTTAGATGATACAGCACTGTCGCCGTTTCCATTCCTACCGATCAATTCTCCGTGAGCATCATTATTCCTCGAGTGATGTTTTACTTTATGTACCCGTCTATGACGATGTAGTGGTTTATGTACTGGCTCCGGTTCATTTTCTGCATTCAAAGTCCTGTGACTGCTACTACTCTATAATTGCCACAGAAGTTAATTATGCTAGTAAATAAAATTAAATTGAATACATAATAGAGAATAGCATAAAGAAAATTGAGTCTTTGTGAGATTTATACCTTTCCCTTAACATGTTTATCAGCACTATTATCACGATTTGGCATTGCTGATAAGAATAATGTACAAGTAACATAAACAATAATTTAAAGGTGTCTCAAAGAAATACTTGCACAAGCAACTCAAACATTATTTATATAAACACTTTTAGATCCGTTTCTTCTTCTTCTTCTTCTTCTTCTTCTTCTTCTTCTTCTTCTTCTTCTTCTTCTTTTTCTTCTTCTTCTTCTTTCTTTATGGATATCTTTTCCCTTGGGAAAATGGCAACACTTTTATTTCAGCTTCGTAACACTCCCAAGTGTCAAACATTTGTTTATGTTGTGCACAGCGCCATGATCTAATCGTCATAGTAACTAGCAGCGAAAAACTGCAATGGCTTGTCGCTAGATGGAGCAAGATGAAAGAGCTCGCTGACAGAGAGAGCTCATCTCTCACGCACACAACTATATCCGTGCGCTCTTTTATTTATTCGATAAAAGAAGATAAAGAATTCTGCACTAACTTTTATTCTCTATATTTATTTTAAGTGTAAGAGCAGCGCCGATAAAATCTAAACGCACAGTTGTAAATGCATAAATATTTGTTGTAATCATGATATTAAAGAGAATATATCGTTTCGATACATTCAATTTGTTGAGGCTTGCGGTATGCTGCGACAACCGCAATGCGATTCTTCATGAGTACAACAGTGGACTACTATTGTTGTTCCGATCGATTATACAATAGCACAAAAATAAAAATTCATTTCATCAATTATTCCAAACAAGTATCCCGATAAAAAATAACCATCCAACTATTCTATCGAATAAGAAAATAAAAGTAGCAATTAAGTAAATTTAATAATGCAAAACTATTTACTAATTAATAATTGGTATTCTTTTATAGTTTTACTATTTGCGCTGAAGCTGTCGCTATGTTTCGTACTATCAAGCGCATTCTTTCATCGAAATTGCAATTATTCTCAGCGCTTAAATATTGGTACCATCTATTACGTGTACAATCCCGATTATCCTAACCCTTCCAAAGGTCGACAGTTTTGCAAGTGGATTGCGGAGAGTGATTATGGAGTAAAACTAACGTGCAAAATTTTCGATATACCGGTAAGAGTTATGTGTGTTATGATAAAAAATAAAATATTATTAATGAAAGATACCTCTATTCTTGATTTATGTATGTTCCACACACATACGTATACATACATTCTGACTTGCCTTTTGTATCATATCCGCTATACATATAATGGGATTTTTTTATTGTGCTTTAGGTTAACAAAGTAAAACTAGAGCTAATTATTATTTGTTACTAATTAAAATTAGAGATGTTTTACAACATCTGGAATATTTTTCGCAGAATCCTACGACGAGTTGCTTCTACAACAGGTTGATCGTACACGTGAATAAATCGACGGCTTTTTCTTATTGTGGCAACGACACGTTCAGCATAGAATCGGCAGGAAAATTCATGACTGTTGAATTGTCGACCACGTTCTGGTCGTCCGGAGTCAAATTTCTGTGCGAACTGCAAGCTGTTGAAGCTGATGAACAGGATTCTGATTGCAGATGCGGATGGAAAAAGCCAGTACGTACTAACCAAAATTGTCCCGTAAACGATTGGTACCACATATAAGCGCATACGTATGAATTGATACTCCAACGAATTTCATCGTTTTGTCTTGATCGTTCGTTACAGACGAAAATAGTAGGAGGTAACGAAACCGGAGTGAACGAGTACCCCATGATGGCCGCTCTCGTCGATCCTTACAGAAGAGAGATATTTTGCGGTGGATCAATCATATCTCCGAAACATATATTAACTGCCGCACACTGCGTGACCGAGAGAAGCACAAACGACATGGGCGTGCTTGTAGGAGACCACGACCTTACCACAGGTCAATGTTCTTTATATCGAAGAAATTTTAATAAACACGTATATATATTTTATTCGGGTAGATAATTCTCAAACAAAACCGAATTTTGCTAACATTTTTCAGGCGCGGAAACATCCGCTTCGAAAATCTACACTGTATCCGGCTTTAAAATATATCCACTTTACAACACTTCATCGTTGGAAAACGATATAGCTCTAGTAATGGTGAATTCCGTGATAAACTTTAGCGAAGAAGTTGGACCAGCTTGTCTTCCGTTTCAACATCGGTGGGATTCTTTCGCGGGGAGTTATGTGGATTTACTAGGTGAATATATATTTACTTAGCATCAACCTCAGCACACCTGGATGAATATACGTATTCTAAACGTATCGTTTAGAAACGTCTTTTCTGAGGCGTTTTACAAACGACGTTATGAAATGACGTTACATAAGTTTAGAAAAGATACGTGAAACCAATATGTGCTACAGTAGGAGAATTTGCCTGTAAATTATGATCGATTCATAAATAAATTGATCAACTTGGTTCAACTAAAGTTTCATATTATGCAATATTGTGCAATCAATAAATCATAATGCATTTAATATTAACGACACAGGTTGGGGGACAACAGAATTCGGAGGTATGAAATCAAATACCTTGCAAAAAGTTATGTTGAGCGTAATCACGAACCGAGATTGTCGCCGATCTTATCAAAACTTGACACACAGCCAGATATGCACTTACGGAGAGAAGAAGGATGCCTGTCAGGTAACACTGTAAAAGTTTGCCATTGTCGACTATTGGGGAATTGTAATTTCAGAATCGTAGTAGTTTCTCTCAGCTACTAATCGAGAAACTTAGATACATCGAAATCATCGTGAATCAGACATTTCAGTACACAAGCACAAAGCCTCCTGCGCTTTTTCGCAGTCATATAACATATATCTTTATAACACATAATCTCTCATTGTTCAACATTTCATCACACAGTTCGACAGCGGCGGCCCCGTCCTTTGGCAAAATCCTACAACGCGGCGAGAAGTACTTGTAGGTGTCATTAGTTTCGGCATTGCTTGCGGCAATAATGTGCCAGGAGTCAATACACGCACCAGCGATTATATCGATTGGATCGTAGGTGAAACACCGGGTAAGCACGTGAAATGTACAACATTGTACATTGTCTATGAAGCATGCTCTCCGAGTACTTGTTTATAACATTATAATGTTGTTTCGGCAGGTACCAGCTATTGCAAAGCTGAATAAAGAAAACGCACACGCACGTTATCGTCACAATATAAAATAATCGCTTCTAATTTATTATTTCTAGAAACCACAATTCGCACAATGTCACTTATTTGATATGACAATGTAATCACATCATTTGTACAAACACAGTATTTATAGAAATTGCAGCACTGTTGGAAGGTTGGAATTGGTTATTGCGTAGCAAATAAATTAAATACAATGATCGAAATGAATTATCGTTGCACCGGAACTACTTGTACGCTCTCGTGAGAATTTACATTGTCCTTAATAGCGATTTCCACAGTGCAGAAGAATCAAAAGTGATGGCTCGTAAACAATGTCTCATTATTAATATGTTCTTGAATGAGGATGTGACGTGAGGCCCGTCTATGGGAGGGAATCTATGGTAAGCGTCCACTTACACTAGCCAATATGATAGTGCATCGGATCGCTCGCTATGGCACGTATATGGCAACCGAGACAACCGAGGATTTACATCGCTTACAGCGCTTTTACAGTCGAGCTGAGGATAATGAAAAATATGTCACGAGCGAAATTTGGTAAGTCGTCCGAGAAATGCCGATTTCTCACGGTCGAGAACGCGGTGCAGAACGGACGTTGACTCGCATTTTAAATGACCGCTTTTATTTATAGCTCATGATAAATAACGCCTATCCTTTAGCGCGTGAGAAAATAAAGCTGCGGAGAAAATAAAGCTCCGGGTAACTTAGAAACGGAATTGCTTACGAGATAGAGTTTATTCACGCGAATTAGGAATGCACAAGGTATGTATCTCTCTTCGGATTTACGGGTATTATTCATGCGCGCTCGAAATAAATATTTGTGACAGACGATCGGCAGAAGACACACGGCAGAACTTGTGTAAACTTGGTTTGTAAGCTGGTTAGGCTTTGTGGTAACATAATGATGAAATGTTTCCGCATGAAGTGAATATTCCGTGATCGCGCGATATTAGTCAATGATCACAGTCTCGTCCCACGGTACGTCGATTACTAAACAAATTGATTTTTCCCAGTACGCTGCACGCTGATATATATCCTTGACACACTTGTTGACCCAATAACAGTACGCAAATAGGTATTTTCTTCTCATCTCACGACGGAACTACGCACCACGAACGACTTGCTGCGTATTTCGATATGAGTAACTACTATTCGCATCTCACTCCGAATTTTTCAAAATGAATTGGAGACAGGAATTGAAGATCGATATTAATTAGATTGGAGATAGATATTAAATAATTATTCGCGGAAAATTCGCCGTGTGTGAGAAAGCGAATGTGTGAGCGCGGTGTCTGACTAGTTGCTTAGTTGGGGGCACCGCATCCGCGTTCGTTCCCGCGGGAGAGACGTATGGGATATTTGAGATAATAGCTGAAAAAAAATTCTTTAGAACGACGAGGAGAAAGAAGAAGAAGGAAGCCGAACTGCAAGGATTTGCAAGGACGGGGTGATTGTCTGAACTTGCACAACCATAACGTCGCGTGCGACGTTAGGGAGGAGGTAGTGAAGGCACAGCCGTATACGTCATGTCTTCAAATTGTACTTGGACGATATGTGGTCTGTTCTTTTTAGCTGCACTGCGGCACTAAGAGTGCAATAAGAGTTGATAGAGTGAGACAACTATATATTCTTTCTCACTTTATTACACCACTTATTGCACCAGTTCAGTAGCGCGGCTAAAAAGAACGGACCAATGGATCAACGGTTCATCTCATCCAGAAGTGAGTTTCTCCTCTGACTTGTCTATGCTTATTGTTCATACTCGTAGTAAAAGCTAACAACTCCAACAGCTAAGAGAAAAGAGAGTAAAAAAATTACATTTACATTTAGCCGTACATTTCGTACATTTCGCATGTTACTCAGCGCGACTTGCATCAACCACATTTATATTAATATAGTGCATTGTACGGATAAGGACGGTCCACTGCTCACATGGTGTGCAGTGCACGCCATGTCATTACGCGTATTGTATAATGCCGTTTCGAACAGCCTTTTTTTTCCTATCGAGAACTGCAAATTATCTACGGCAAGGTAGATAAATGTAACTAGAGACTTTATATAACATAATTATATATAAATATCTGCAATATAAATATGCAAAGCAAATTATTAAAAAGGATTTGTATGTATATTGCACGTCATGAATTTGCAATATGTGTCGCGTTGAAACAATTGATGCACATGAAAATTACGAATTGATTCACGTCACAAGTGTTTGGTGATGGATTTAGGATTATTATAATATCGCGTTACATAACAATGTTAAATCACTGCGTAATGTATTAATTCGATGCAACTCGCTCGTTGTAAATTTAGAGGACACTTCGATATAGCTTTCCGTTGCTACAACGGTCAATGAACTGTCCGAACTGATTTGCATTCGTAAGATTGCCTCCACTTGCGCAATATTATGCAATCGCACTGTAAGCGATATTGACGCACCATAATCAGCATGGGTGTATCGGTGGAAAAGAAGGATAGGTCATACGCCGAATCGCTTCCAAGGATAAACTCAACGTTCGATCGTTCGGTAATTATCAAATGGTAGTCAAGCGAATTTCCAAAGTACATTTCGTTGCGGAAAGAGAGAGAGAGAGAGAGAGAGAGAGAGAGAGAGAGAGAGAGAGAGAGAGAGAGAGAGAGGGAGGGAGGGAGGGAGGGCGGGAGGGTGGGAGGGAATATAGAATGCACATTAATGTAGTATAATTGGGAAGTTTAAATTGATTAAGCACTTTCGCGTTATATTGCGTCTAGTAAGAATAATTTTACAAATATGTTACGCTTGAAATCAAAGTTTATTTGGCACGCTATCCCATAAAGATCATTGCAAGATAGACTGTCGCATATATCGGCCGACACGAATATGAGTATATTTAGGAATTCTATTCGATGCCAATCGGGTAAACGATAATATACGAGCGGCGGTTAGTGAGAAACTGGGAACAAGGTCAAAAGGTTACGCGACTAGTTATATAACTCGATGAAACTACCGACCGATCCGTTCTCGTATATGTATGTATGAACGCGTACATATACATGTATATAGCACAATCAGCTAGATCCCACGAAACGTTACATCTTCTGGAGGTAGCAACTATAAAGCCCAGTGACGTGGGATGGTCATGGAATGATCGTGACCCTCTTGTACAGACTCAGCTTGCCGAAAATTTTGGAAAGAAATAGGGAAAAGATGAAATAGGATAATCGTATCATTCTTAAGAATGAAACATGATGGAATATATAGAGAGCATAACAAATGGGAGTGGCTAAGGTTTAAGTGGAATACGATTTGAAGATGAAACGAGCTCGAACGACTTATTATACCTTCGGTGAACAAAAATCTACTGTTTTACATATTTTGTTCCTTTGTTCATTCCTTTGTTCCTTCGATATATCTCGATTCAAGTTGGTCAAGAGAATTTCACATCAAATGATAATCCAAGTGTATCGCTCCTCTATCCGATTGAGAATCGCAAAATAGCTGAAACGAGGGTTGAGATATCCTATATAAGCAGTCTAACAAGGAGCTTAAAGATGGAATCTCTCGATTGAAATGATAACGGCGCAAATGGCGACGCGTGGGAAGCGGCGGCCTATTCGCCAAGCATATTCTACCCCCGCGGAACAACGGTCCGATCGATGACGGCAGTTTTCAGTTTAAATCACTTTCGCCACCCTGAAGCAGGCCGCGAAGTTCAAACCGGCAATATCAGAACGCGCGTCACGCGGACAACGTACGTAAGCGGACAACGGCGGAAAAAACACTTCTATCCAGCGGATATGAGAAGGTCAACGAGAGAGTACATGGACGAAACAATTATGGAACGTACGTGT